AATTGCTGTGTGTTCTTGTTTTCGTCTTGGTAATCTCCTATTTCTCGAATTCCATCTTCTTTCATCTTGGCGATGTCTTTTTTATTTTTATCGACGATTTCATCCACGATACGATGCCATTCTTTTCCAAATTTGTTAACAGCTATCTGCAATTCATCACACCTTGAAATAAAGTCTGCCAAACTTGTTGCGATCCTTGCATCGGCTTGGTCAAACTGAGGAATTAGATTTTCAAGGTGAGCAGTGTTTTCTATGATCTGGCGCTTTTTTGATTCAACTATTTTCGAGAGATCAGAAGCCTCGTGTCCCCTATGGACCCCTGTTAAACATTTTATGCAGACTGGTATATCACAGTTTTGACAATGCACGGTGCATTTTTCACTTTTGTGAGACTCGCAGTTTGTGAAAATAAGATGGAACTTCCTGTCTTTGTATTTAACAATTTCGTGTGCGGAAGACGATGACGTCATATAGTGTTTTCCTACGCATTCTTCGCATAAGTTGACCTGACAGGAATTACAGAGAAGTGCAGCAGCTTTGGCATCGATATCACAAAGATGACAGAGAATTATCTCCTGTGCTCTGGTGATATTGCTGGCCATTATGACTAGGTCTTCTACTTTGAAATTTTAAATCACATCTAAAAATGATGAAAAAATTGTATTTTACAAATGATTTTTATATTTTGTAAGTGAAGCTAATGTACATGTATTTACATTAATAGAATTATAAGAAGATTATAATAAGATTATGTACGTGTTTCATTAAAAACCATTTTACAATTTGAAGAAGAAAATGCTGCTGTGCAAGGAGATACATTTTCCCAGAAACATAAGGTTTGTGTAAAAATAATTGAAAGAATTTACTAATTGCATAGAAGCCTGGGTGTCGCAAAACACTGTAGGCGTACTTTTTTTCCACAGGGTCAAAATTCCGCGGAATCTCAAATTCTGTTTAATCCGCGGATAGAAAATTACGCGGATTTCTTAGACTGTCACTATATGCCTTATATCGATAGTAAGTACGCTTGGACAAATTTCCGCGGAAAATTTGTACCCGCGTACATAGCGTAAATTAATACCACGCGGAAAAAGTACTTTTACAGTAATCAAACAAAAAAAACAATTCTGACTGTTCCTTAAATAACTTGATGTTAATAACTCGATGTCCTATATTTTCTATCTTTCAAAGAACAAATCCATCAGGAGAAAAAAAAAAAGATATGAACAGTTATGTATTACTTTAAATTGTGCAAAGGGAGAGAGAAAGGCGAGATAGAAAGAAAATATGTATTCCTATTGTTCTAACCATCAGAACATATATATATATATATATATATATATATATATATATATATATATATATATATATATATATATATATATATATATTCTATTATTAGGGGAGTTATTTACATGTAATTACATGTAGTTTTTCTTTCTGATCCAAACAAGTTCGTTGGCATTTATTTTTACACTTGGAAAATATGAAGTAAATGGTATACATACGTTCCTTTCTTCCCTAACAAAAAATACTAAGTTAACTATAGTTTATCATATTTTACTATAGTTAACTATAGTGATAACATTGACACTTTGAAAACTTTGATTTACTGTAGTGATTACTTTGAAAAACTTTGACGAAAACTTTGACACTTTGAAAAACTTTGACGAAAAATTTAACACTTTGAAAAAGTTTATCAAAAACTTTGAAACTTTGAAAACTTTATCGAAAACTTGGATACTTTGACAAACTTTATCGAAAAATTTGACACTTTGAAAAAGTTTATCTAAAACTTTGACACTTTGAAAACTTTATCGAAAACTTGGATACTTTACCACTTTGAAAAAGTTTATCAAATACTTTGACACTTTAAAAAAAACTTTAACACTTTAAAAAACTTTATCGAAAACTTTGACACTTTGATAAACTTTATCAAAAACTTGGATACTCTACCACTTTTAAAAAAGTTTATCGAATACTTTGACACTTTATTGAAAACTTTGACACTTTGAAAAACTTTATCGAAAACTTTGACACTTTAAAAAACTTTATTGAAAACTTTGACACTTTGAAAAACTTTGGCGAAAACTTTGACACTTTGAAAAACTTTGGCGAAAACTTTGACACTTTGAAAAACTTTATTGAAAACCTTAATACTTTGAAAAACTTTTTTGAAAACTTTGACACTTTGAAACACTTTGGTGAAAACTTTGACACTTTGAATAACTTTATCGAAAAATTTGACACTTTGATTTTATTTTAACAGCACATTATGTCTTAATTGTAGGCGTGTCTTTACACTCCTTAAGGTCATACGCAACATAGTTTGAACTTTATTGGGTTCTTCCCTAGAGTTGAAGAGCTCCACAAAATGAAAGACATATGTGCAATACTTTTAATGTCTATATATGGATTAGTACACCTCTTCTAAAACAATTTTTTAAGAAAAAAAAATCTGGAAATTAGGTTTTGTAATTTTGGTACATTTTTCTTTGATTAATGCAAAAATTTTTGAAATTTGATATCTTTTCAAATCCCCTGGTAACGCATGCTGATTTTTTATCTAAGAACATGTAATGGTATTATAAATTTAAATTTAGAATATCTTGAAAATTATCAGTAGGTAAGGTACGTTGCGTATGTCCTTAAGGCCAGGTAAATACGATTCATACATTTATCCTTTTAGTCATACTTACTGAATTCATTGAAGTTCACATGATCATTTCAGAAGATACTGATAATCATGCACCATGCACTTACACAAACATGTATATATGGGGTATTCATTATTTAAAACACCAGTGAGTATACGATGTACCTGTAAGTGGTTCTTGTGAAGAGCACATCAATTTGCAATTATTATAAAGGCTGTTACTTACTGAATAAAAGCATTTCTATAGCTATAGGCCTAGGGAAAATTTATTCCATCAACTTTCAATTTAAAACTGCTCTGCATCATCTGATCACACTGATAACAGAGATATTTCACTTGCATCAGAGATACATTGTATGGTGTTCCATCTGGGATATTTTACACAAAAAGGCTGAATTTTACAACAGAGGTTTCTACAGAAAAAAATTTACATATGTCAAAAGAATTATAAAGAAAAAAACAAATAAATAGTATCTAATCATACAAGTTATTGGGTGGATCGCAAATTCCTCCGAGTAAATATATATGTATATATTTAAGCGATCGATATTCCTTATTCCTGTTACCTCACTTACTAACTAGAATATTCCAATTTAAAATATTGAAATAGTGTCCGAGTTCCACCTTTAAAACCTGTAAAAATCTAAACTTCCGCATCTTGTTACTGATAATCTAGACCTCATTCATCTAGATTTCCACCTAGATTCTATCTCAGATGCAAGGTCAAAGGGCAGAAAAACTGACATTTTGATCAGACCTAACTTTTAAAAACATGGACTTTCATGGGAATAAACACAAACTCAACTCTCAACAGATTTCTTAACCAATCCCAAATTATACCCTGGTCATCACTTTATGTTGACCATGCGTGAAGGACATGGCTCAACAACATACTCGAATTAGAAGTCATTCATGGCAAATGAATCTGAAGCTTTGACAAGGGGACAATTCCAATCTCAAATACAAAGATCTGTAGACAAAATTGACATCAACTGAGTTAATTTATTGATTTTTTTTAACCATCAGTACAAATGTACATTTATGCATTGATTTCTTTATTAGCCATTATGCAAGATTTTTATATTGATTTCAGAACAGCTCATTATAGTATAAAAACCTGTATATGCATTGTGTATCAGTGCAATGTGAAAAAAAATCTTAATTTTGTTAAACTCGGGGGAGGGGTAGTGGATGTGGAACCACACACACATTCACTGAATCCTAGATGAAGGATTCATCTAGACAAAAAGTCAATTATCTTATTTTTAAATTAAAAAGATGTAGTAAATGCAAACAAATGACAGTTATCATGTTTTAAACTTTAACTCCACTAGTAAATTCAAATTTACAACACGAAACAATCATTGTTACCATGAACATTTGTAGAAATGTGTTAACGCTAAAACATCGTAACAGTCATCTGATATAAATTCAAAAAGATTAAAACAGGATTCTGGGATGAAAGTTAAACATTTTTCTTTGTCAAATATTCATAATATTCCACATCTTAAGTTTGTGCTTAAATCATTTGGGGAGAAAAGGATATTCCTAAGTAATATTATTGACATAAAATTACTAAAAGCTCTGTGGTTAAAGAATGTAGGAACACAGCATGTACCTTCCATTTTATTCTGTATATTTGATCACACTCACTGTCCATCCTGATCAATGATATGGATACAATTATACCATCTTCCACCAAAATACGACCGCCTAAGTCAGTCACAAGTATGGACCCAGGAATAAATTACAACATGATACATGATGCAATCATTTTCATTATGGAAACACACTGTATACAATGCTTGTATCTTCCTTTTTATTCTGTATATTTGATCACATTCACTTTGTTACCATTAACCTTTCCCACCCACAGTCGCCCGAGTGTGTCCAAGCTCAGTATGCCACAATAATTTAGATGTTTTAAATACTGTCCATCCTGATCAATGATTTGGATACAACTATTTCCATCATCTTCCACCAAGGTACGACCCTTTGAATCAGTGACAATGGAACCAGGAGTAAATTTACCCTTGATCGACTTATCTCCTTTAGAATGATATCGCAGCGCACCTGAACAGTTAACTACGACAACAAATTTGGCATTGCAGTCAGACGCAACGACATCTCCGTTGATGTTTTCCGTCACATAGAGCATCTTATTGCCTCCTTTATATAACGGATCACCTCGATTATCCATGGCCATTTCCTGAATGATTGTTTGTCCTTTATAACGGACAATTTTACACACACGATCATCAACCGTTTTCAAGCAGACAAGGAAATCCCCCGATTTTGTACAATACACTGCAATCGGTTGCCATCCCTGTTGTACCATGATCAGAGAGAAATGTCTTCCATCTTGGTAAGTATAAACAGTTTTACTCTGTTTATCTGTATAACCCACTAGTTCTCCTTTTCTTGTTACCGATATGCGACTTGGGTAACCACTCCAGTGCATACAAATGGACCTAAAAGTCTTCCCGATTGATCCACGTATGTCCTTACGTTGGATCCTCGCCTTTTTATCGTAACTTACCCAAACCTCCTCTGTACCAGTACAACAGAGATGCCTTAGATTGTCATTCGTCAAAAAAGCTGCTATTTCAATAACAGTTTCTCTTTGGTTGGGGCGGTATAGGATGCTGCAGTATTAGACATTGACGTCGATATATTATTGGTCAAGTGAAGTTTCCAAAAAAAAAATCCAGGTAGTTCGGAAAAATTGACCTGCCAGGGAACAAAGGTTGATGAATTCAAATCAACTTCTAAAGGTCCCCTCTGACTAAGTTCCCGTCCCTTGTATTTGCATTGGTTGATCTCACTTGCATACAAACTCAACAATCTTTCGATTTTGCCTAACAGTCTCCAGTAATAATTGCTGTGTGTTCTTGATTTCTTCTTGGTAACCTCTCATTTCTCGAATTCTATCTTCTTTCATCTTGGCGATGTCTTTTTTGTTTTTATCGACGATTTCATCAACGACGCGACGCCATTCTTTGCCACATTTGTTGACAGCTAATTGTAATTCATCACACCTTGAAATAAAATCTGCCAGATTTGTTGCGATCCTTGCATAGGCTTGGTCAAACTGAGGAATTGCATTTTCAAGGTGAGCAGTGTTTTTTTTTCGATTTGGCGCTTTTTTTGATTCAACTATTTCCAAGAGATCAGAAGTCTCATGTCCCCTATGGACTCCCGTCACACATTTTATACAAATTGATTTATCACAGTTTTCACAATGCACAGTGCATTTTTCACTTTTGTGAGATTCACAGATTGTGAAAATAAGATGGAACTTCCTTTCTTTGCATTTAACAATTTCGAATGTGGAAGACGATGACGTCATAAAGTGTTTTCCTACGCATTTCTCGCATAAGTTGACCTGGCAGGAATTACAGTGAAGTGCAGCAGCTCTCGCGTCACAGAGGTGACACAGAATGATTGCCAGCGCTCTGGTGATGTTGCTGGCCATTATGACTAGGTTTTCTATTTTAAGATTTTATTCACATCTAAAAATGATGAAACAAAACTATATGTCAGATTCTTAACATCTGTAGAAAATTGCTGTAAATGGAAAGACAAATGATTTTTTTTTTTTTTTTTTTTTTTTTTTACATTTTTGTAAATGAAGCTTAATATATGCATGCCCCACATTTTTGTAAACTAAGCTAATATACATGTATTAATATTATAAAATTATATGTATATATCTCATCAAAAACCTTTTACAATTTGAAAAAATATGCTGCTGTGCATAATTTTTTTTTTTTAAGAAACTTGCGCAAAACGTGATGACTTCAACTTTTCTATCGTCAAATTCCTTATTTTGTAGCAATATATCCTTACCACCAGTATATGAGGTTTAAGTCTCCCAGTTGATTCAGTACGTAAGAGCATGCTCTATGTACGATCAATTTTTAAAACGAGGCAAGCTAATGACCATCAAGTTAATGAAACACGGATATTTACATTTCGTTTAAAGTTATCAATTCGGAAGTTCTATGGTCCACACATTTACCTTATCAGCAAATGCAGTCTATCATAGGATCAAATACTTGCTTACAATTTTCATCCTATAATTGTTAAGCCATTGTTTACACAATGAAATTTCTACAGATTTTCACCAATTTACCCGATCGTGACAAGAAGGTATGATCAGTCGACAGGGGATGCATACTCCTCCGTGGCACCTTATTCAACTTTGGATGTTTTTTTATAGAGGCCCGCTTCAGTTCTTCTTCCCTTGATGTGCATTGTATAAAAATGGACTTTGACCTTTTTTGTTATGCCAATATTTCATTTTTAACAGCACATAATGTCTTATTTGTGGATGTGTCTTTACATTCCTTATAATCTGGTAAAAGCGATTCATACATTTTTCTTTTCGCCATACTTACTGAATTCAGTGAAGTTCACAAGGCCATTCAACCATCTCACATGATCATTTCAGAAGATACTGATAAGTATGCACCATGCACGCACACATACATGTACAATGTATGAGGTACTCGTTCTTTAAAACACCTGTCAGAATAAGATATACTTGTAAGTTCTTTGGAACAGCACAGCAAACTGGGATTATTGTATACGTACTGAATAAAAGCTTTTATGTAGGCCTAGGACATAATATTTCCATCAACTTTCGATTTAGAACTGCCCTGCATCATCTGATCAGTTAAGAGAGTTGTGTCACTTTTATTATAGATGTATGGTGTTCCGTCTAGGATTTTAGTTCCTTAATCTTCTCTTAGATTTTAAGCAGTTAGCAATTCATTTTTTGAAAGGTGATAGGCAGTGTTCTCGAGATATGCAATGTAGTTTTAGCATTTCATTACAATTGTTATCCTGGGGCCAAATGAGGGTAGTTTTTATAAAAAAAAAAAAACAACAAAAAACTATGGTCCTAGAACTCCAACATTTTAAGCAGTAACCTCTTCATAATAATGTTGGATGAAGGAATTTTTTTTTTTTTTTTTTTTGCAATATGATTTTTTTAATTTCCAGGAATGAACACGACGATTAGTTCCAAGAATTCCTCTTACACAAGACAAACAGCACAATTTGATAAAAAAAAATCTTACTTTTATAAAATATTTTGAGACCATATGGTTACCCCCCACACACAACCACTCCCTCGATAAAACATCCTGAATGGAATATACACTTTGACAACCAGTCTATTATCTTATTTAATTTTTGAACTGAAAAGGTGTTGATGAAGGGCAAAAAAAGAAAGTTGTAACGTTTTAAATTTTGCATTTTCTCCACTACTAAATAAAAATTTTTAATTTACAACATGATACAATCATTTCATCATGGGCACACGAAGAAATGCGTAAATGCTTAACATCCAAACAGTCATCTGATTTGGATTCCTTGTCAATTCGAAAAGATTAAAAGAGTATTCTGGGATAAAAGTTACACCTTAAAGTGTTTTGTTAAAAATTCACATTTTACCGTTTTGCGCTTAAATCAAATTAAGGAAAAAATGTATTTCTACTCAATATAAGGATACATTTACTAAGAGCTCTTTGGTTAAAGACTAGCACTACAATGTATGTACAATGCATGTATCTTTCTTTTTTATTATTTTGTATATTTAATCACATTCACTTTGTTTCCAATAAACTTTCCCACCCACAGTCGCCCGAGTGTATCTAAACTCAAGATGCCACAATAATTCAGATGTCTTAAATACTGTCCATCCTGATCGATGATTTGGATACAATTATTCCCATCATCTTCCACCAAGATACGACCCTTTGAATCAGTGACAATGGAACCAGGAGTAAATTTACCCTTGATCGACTTATGTCCTTTGAAATGATATCGGAGTGTACCTGCACTATTAACTACGACAACGCGTTTGGCATTGCAATCAGAAGCAACGACGTCACCATTGACGTTTTCCGTCACATAGAGCATCTTATTTCCTCCTTTATATAACGGATCACTCCGGTTATCCTCGATCATTTCCTGAGTGATTGTTTGTCCTTTGTAACGGACAATTTTACACGCACGATCATCCACCAATTTCAAAGAGACAAGTAATTCCTCCAATTTTGTACAATACACCGCCATGGGTTGCCATCCCTGTTCCACCATGATGAAAAAGGAATGTCTTCCATCTTGATAAGCATTAACACTTCTACTCTTTTTATCTGTATACACTAGTTCTCCTTTATTTGTTACAGAAATGCCACTTGGGTAACCACTCCAGTCCATACAAATGGAAATACAAGACTTCCTGACTGATCCATGTATATTCATACATTCGATCTTCGACTTCTTATCGTAACTCACCCAAACCTCCTCTGTACCAGTACAACACAGATGCCTTAGATTGTCATTAGTCTTAAATTCTGCGATTTGAATAATTTCTTCCAACAGTTTCTTTGTGGTTGGGGCGGTATAGGATGCTGCAGTATTAGACATTGACGTTGATATACTGGTCAAGTGAAGTTTCCCAAAATTTCCAAATAGTTCGGATAAATTTACCTGCCCGGGAACAAAGGTTGGTAGATTAACTTTAACTTCTAAAGGTCCTCTTAGATGCAGTTCCCCTTCTTTATATTTGTATTCGTTGATCGCACTTGCATCAACAGACTCAATAATCTTTCGATTCTGCCTAAAAGTTTCCATTAATAATTGCTGTGTGTTCTTGTTTTCGTCTTGGTAACCTCTTAATTCTCGAATTCTATCTTCTTTCATCTTGGCGATGTCTTTTTGGTTTTTATCGACGATTTCATCAACGATGCGATGCCATTCTTTTCCACATTTGTCTACACCTATTTGCAATTCATCACATCTTGAAATAAAATCTGCCAAATTTGTTGCGATCCTTGCATCGGCTTGGTCAAACTGAGGAATTGCATTTTCAAGGTGAGCAGTGTTTTCTTCGATCTGGCGTTTTTTTGATTCAACTATTTCCGAGAAATCAGAAGCCTCATGTCCTTTATGGACCCCTGTCAAACATTTTATACAAACTGGTATATCACAGATTTGACAATGAACTGTACATTTTTCACTCTTGTGAGACTCGCAGTTTGTAAAAATAAGATGAGATTTTCTGTCTTTGTATTTGACAATCTCGTGTACGGCAGACGATGACGTCATATAGTGTTTCCCTACGCATTCCTCGCATAAGTTGACCTGACAGGGATTACAGAAAAGTACAATAGCTTTCGCATCACAAAGATGACAGAGAATGATCTCCTGCGCTCTGCTGATGTTGCTGGCCATGATTACCAGGTCTTCTGCTTTAAAATTTTACTCGCATCTAAAGATAAGGAAAGAAAATTATTTTTTCAGATTCTTTACTTCGGTCTAAAATAGCTGTACGGATATGACAAGACAAATGACCTTTACATTTTTTGTGAATGAAGCTAATGAACATGTATTAATATTTATTCGAAAAAAAAGCTGCTGTGCAAAGCGAAATTTTTTTCAGAAACTTAAGCTTTGTGTAAGAATAATTAAAAAAATTTATTGCTTAGAAACTTAGGTTTCACAAAATAATTTCAAGGATGGAAACAAGATGTGTTTGTGAAACACTTATGTCCCCGTGTGGCAACATAGCTAAGATTAAACTTTTCTTAATTGCAAATTTAATTCATTGATACCAAAAGTAGGGTATTCTCACTGGAAACAATTTTGAAATTTGAAAGTAGGCCAATGCTCAAGTTTTTTCAATAAGTACAAAAATCTCCAAGGTCAAGGTAATTGGTATCCAATAAAAGGTCTTGCCACATAGAATACTTATGTTGAGTATGGAAGCCCTAGCCCTAACCGTTCTTACGTTATGACCAAGGTTAATTTTTTTTAAAAGTAGGCAAAGCTCCAAGGTCAAACTCAAAGGTCAAGGTCAAAGGGTCAACGTTCTTGGTATCCAATAAAGGGTCTTTACGCAAGAATTATATATTTGAAGTATGGAAGCCCAATCCCTTACCGTTCAAAAGTTATGGCCAAGGTTAAAGTTTTTTCACAAGTACAGAAATCTACAAGGTCAAGGTCAAGAATGTTGACCCTTTGTGAGGAAAACAGCAAAATAAGATATGAATTTTTATGTATTACTTTAAATTGCATAGAGGTAGAGAGAGAAACAAGAGATAAAAAAGTACTCCTATTGTTTTAAATATCAGCATGTAGTTAGGGGAATTATTTGTTATTTTGTTATCACACTTCACCTTTACCGTGAACAAAATGCCCAGGGGCCACATCGCTCACCTGAGCAATTATCTAGGAAAAAGCACATATCAGATCAGAACTGAAAGTTTACTGAGGGGGGGGGGGCTTGAATTTTAACCCCCCAGTGGGTCATGATTTGAACAAACTAGAATCTACACTACCTGAGGATGATTCCCTATAAATATCACTAAGCATGGCTTTGAAGTACTTGAAAAGAAGATTTTAAAAGGTTTCCCCATATATTCCTATGTAAAACTTTTATCGGCCATTTGGCCCCAACCTACCCCCGGGGGTCATGATTTGAACAAACTTGAATCTAAACTACCTGAGGATGATTCCACATGAGTTTCATCTTTCCTGTCTCAATGGTTCTTGAGAAGAAGACTTTTCCTATATACTCCTATGTAAAAATTTGATCGGCCATTTTGGCCCCACCCTACCCCCGGGGGTCATGATTTGAACAAACTTAAATCTACACTACCTGAGGATGATTCCACATGAGTTTCATCTTTCCTGGCCAAGTGGTTCTTGAGAAGATTTTTAAAGATTTTTCCTATATATTCCTATGTAAAAATTTGATCAGCCATTTTGCCCCCCCCCCTTTACTCCCGGGGGTCATGATTTGAACAAACTCGAATCTACACTACCTGAGGATGATTCCACATGAGTTTTATCTTTCCTGGCACAGTGGTTCTTGAGAAGATTTTTTAAAAACGCCATTAATTTTTCTCTAATTCATAATTATCTCCCCTTGGAAAAGGGCATGGCCCTTCATTTGAACAAACTTGAATCCCCTTTACCCAAGGATACTTTTTAGCAAGTTTGGTTGATATATATTGGCCCAGTGGTTCTTGAGAAGAAGATGAAAATGTGAAAAGTTTACGACAACAACGACAACGACGACAACGACAGACGACGGACAAATTTTGATCAGAAAAGCTCACTTGAGCCTTCGGCTCAGGTGAGCTAAAAAAGTTCTTTGTCTTTCATTTTTACACAGGGAAAATATAAAATAGATGGTATACATACGTTCCCTCTTTAAAGAGTTTAACATATAAAAGCATAAAAGTACTAGTAATACATTTATCAGGTCGAGACCACTAGATTTTCCGACGTCAGCATAAATTTGCATGTAAATTAGCTATTTGTTTACTTTGCCCACTGATGAATGAGTCGCAATGCATTGTGGGCTCCTACAAGTACTCAGCTGTGTTGAAAATAAAGGTCAACTTGAATTGTCCCTTGGAAATTTATTTTCAATTCTTTTTTGAGATTTATGAAAGAAATATTTAAAATGATATATAATCTTTCATTTCTATGCTCACATTTACAAAATTTGCTTTATGAAGTCTAATATCAACTTATATTAATACATCGGATAAAACCATTGTTCAAAGAGACGTACATGTAGGTGCTATCGTGTCGATAAAGTACATAGTTTTAGACAGCAGTACAAGGTGTGCTATTATTATTTACCCCTAAATATTATCAAAAAGTTTTTAATGTACATGCAAACGTCAAAGCGTTTGCACATTATTCGAACTTTCGAAGCAACTATTAATCATTTAAAACAACTCCAATATTACATGTGAGCATGGAATGTAATCTTTCAATTTCTGACTTAAAAAAGTGATAAAAAAGATCTACGGGTTTTCCTGTGACGAAGTGAATATTATGCAGAAACCGACGAAAACCACGTGTCGCCATTGAATCGTAAACACGTAGTAGAGTGTCATGCTTTGTGACTCATTCACTTGATTGGCGAACGGGTGTGACGAAGATATAGTCACGTGTTGAAAATTGCCTTCCAAATAAGGTAGTGGTCTCGACCTGTTTATCTAGCTAGAAAAAGGCGTTAACCACCGTATCCAACGGGTAACGCGGGGGAGTCGCTAAAAAGTATGGGGGGGTCGTTTTCAACGTATGGGGGAGTCGATTTTCACCGCTTCGGAGTCAGAAGTGATGTGGGTCACGTCTTTTTTCGGTATATGTAAGATTTATTTACAAAAAACAACTATCCCACGGAAGGTAGCAATAGTTAAGCTTTCTGTTGGTCATTTGTTCGGCTAGCAGATACGTCTAGTTTTCTCAAACACTTCGAAACTATTCGACAGATTTCATATTTATGTTGATCGAATGGTTAAAAAATGCATAGTTTGCATAATCTACGACTTGTGTAGGGATTTTTACAGTTAAAACAACAAAAGCAAACGTTAATCTCTCAAATGCAAGTATTCAGACTTGGCTAGACTTGATGAAAATTAATAATTAAGACATTTTCTCTTCAGATCGTAATGGTTACGTAGGGGGGAGTCGTTTCTGGAAAAACACAACGCATAGGGGAGTCGCAAAAATAAATTGTACTTTTATTTTAAATTTCTTTTCTTTTGCTAATTATATATAAATGCTTCCATACATAACTATTTTGATAACTTTATAATTTTAGTAAAATGCAATATGAATAAAGATCAATATAAGCAATATGTACATGTAAAAATAAAAACATGTATTTATCGTTTCTTATTGTGAAGTGCATGAGTATACACCAATACTTCATATACATTACTACATGTCATTTGATATGGTTTCTGCACGGATGAGCAGTGGCATATTTCAAAATTATCAGCATTTAAAATTAAAAACCGTTAGGCAGTTTTAAAATGTCTGTGCGCCCGTCCGTCTGTCTGTTACGCTTTGGGTTACCCATCTCTTATCCGCAACTCCTCTGATACCACTGAGTGAAATTTAATGAAACTTTCACAGAAACTTTACTACATATTGCCATTGTGCACTGTGGCGGATTTAAGGGGGGCGTGCACCCGGCGTGCGCCTCCTAAAATTGCCAAAGTTGGGGTTAATCATAGTTTAGTCTAGAAAATGTAAAAATTGTCTACTCGGTAGACCTCATTTTTACCCTACGAAATCTCTGGAATCCATGAGCTTCCGGGGCTTCGCCCCCTGGGTCCCCAGCCCCCCCCCCCCCCACCCCGCCTACTTTATTCGCTCCCCCCCCCCCTAACTTCAAGTCCTGTATCCGCCCCTGGTGACCTCCTATTTTACTTTTTGATCCGACACATATTTTGAGTTTACCGGCCACAGCAACACATGGACCATTATGGCATGGGAGGCGGGGGGTATCATTTAGTGAGCTCATTGCTCACAGTACCTCTAGTTTTCTTGGTGAATTTTTATAGCTCTTATTAAAATTAGAACTTCAGACCCTGTCCTTACCCATAATAATAATTCTGAAATACATTGCATGAAACAGGCACGTTTGAAAGGTCTTCCAACGTTTTCGTGCAGAATAGTTAAAAAATAGTTATATTTGCAAATGTGTTAATAAAATTTGGTTGAGAAATTCTGTTGCAACATGATTCTTCTTCAAACCTTCTTCTTTTGCTTGTAAAAATTTTCAGATAAGTTGTTTATAATTCTTTTTTTTCAAACTTATGAAAAATTATTATTGTAAGAAAAACTTTTATAACTAAAAAAAAAAGTAAAGACTTTCTACTGTTTTCCTGAGCGGTCAAATAAATCTGCTTGACAGTGGAGTGAGATGTTGGACCTGTCGATGAGCTATGGCACCGCTTACTTCACAGTGTCATGTGTGTGGGCGGGGTCAAAGTCATAACTTTACGGAATTGACCAAGTTTAAACTGCAGAGCGCGTGAAAAAATTTCATCATGATAATATCAAAATAAACAATAAAATGATTCATTAATTGATTGTTCTCGGACAAAAATGCTTTTTGACGACCCCTCAAACAAACGTTCGGTCTAACAACCTCGGGCAAACAGTTTGGTTCTTCGGTCCGAAAAAAACGCATGTTGCCCTCGAACCCTGTCTATGAATTTATACATGTAGTACTGACAGTGTAAACCCCAGATAATCCCAAATATTCTCATTTAAGATACATCGTTTGTGCTTGAAGATGTGTTTATATGATAAATGAAAAATAAAAATAGATCATTTATATGTCGACCAAATTGAAAGCATGTACCAGTTTAACCCCCCCCCCCCAAGAAAAAAATAAGTCAAGGGGTGGGAATGACGCGCCAGAGATTTCCACTTTTCTAATAAAAAAAAATGGTT